AACTTCCTTATATAGCTTGTCCTAAAATTTCATGACGTTAGGCCAAATTATTTGGGAGTTATAGATTTTACAAATCCTCGATCAATTTTTGAATGTGCTATGTGTAGATCTGAGAGTTGGTGTTGTTTGTCTTAGCTAAGCCTTGAATCACCTTTTGATGATAACTAGAGAGTTGTAGTTCTTTTTTTAAGATTTTCAAAATGTTAAAGAGCATATCTTTTGGTGGTCTAGAACTCCAGTTGCATGTGTTTGAAGTTTAATGTCAGAATCTGTTCAAGCCTGGATAGAAATGTTTGTTTGTAATGTTTGTCCTAGTTAACTGTGGAATAAGCTCTGGATGATAATAAGAAAGTTGTAGGTAATTTCTTAAGCTTTCCAGAAAGTCTAAGATCATCCTTGTTGGATATCTGGAACTCCAGTGATGATCAAAACAACTGACTATTGTGCTGTAATCCAAAACTTGTTTTGCTTAAGTTGATTGCTTTAACTTGATGGTTGATATGGTTGCTAGTGTGACTCATGCCAATGAGTTAATCTACCTGAAACCAGCTTGCTAGATGTAAGTTAAAAATTTGTCTTCTCTACCAGAGAAGAGATATGCGCCTACTCGGTAAAAAGAATTAAAAGATTATCACCATCTTGCCACTTCTGTGTTGTATGTTTAGCAGTAGAACCTTGATCATGATTGATATGGCTAGGTTTGGTGTTGCACACATCAGCCCTAGTGCTCTTGTATGATGCTAAGCTTAATTAGTTCTCGGTAGATAAATGTTACGGTGTTGTCTTATTGCTATCTTAGCATAGCAAGATTGTGTAATGTCTAGTTGACACTATCTATCCATGTGCCTAGGTCAATTTTGTTATGACCTTATACTTGTCCTTATTTGCAATCGCGTGATGTTTTGGTTTTTCTCCTTCTCATATGCATGCATTGCATCTTTGCATATATTATATAGGTACGCTAGATGTATGACAAAAGGGTGAAGAACGTGGTGCTGAAACCAACCAAAAGGCTATGTTGGTGAACGGATCTAGAAGATGGGAGGACCCCGGGAATACATGTCGGGCAAGAGATGCTCGTCAAACGAGTATCATCTAACAAACACTGACCTAGTGTTGGATCCTAGGCAAGCCCCGGAGCATTCTAAGCCTCCTACCTCTCTTTTAAAATACACTTGAATTTATATTTTGTATTGTGCATTAAGTATAGGAGTTGAATTGAAACCTGTTGCTGCATGTCGTACCTTGTCTACAGTATATATACATGTATCCTTACTAGTATATATAGGTCGCTCTATGCTTAGCTATGCTTATACCGGTAGAAGTCGGGAGATTCCTGTCGCCTACGAGACATAGGTGGCTACTCTGATACGGTTGGCTATATTTGCTATCGTAGAAAAGAACCAGGTGATAATGGATAACTGCAAACCGAACAGGATCCGGTGCTATTACGGTTGTTGTTGATGCTGGCTAGGCATGTATTCTTAGATCCCGTCTATGTCATTTAAGGATCGCTTCATTGTCGGACCTAGGTTGAGATTGAAGGTACCAAAAACATAACAGGGGCCTGAGTTATAGTTGACCGTGAAGCCGATTAGCTCATTCGGGCTGAGTATATTGGACCGTTAGCATTGCTAGGAGGAGAGCCTGAAGGAAGGGGACTGGTCTAAGACCATGTTTGCTACGGGCTTCAGGCTTCAGGCAATTCATGTGAGGATGCAGGATCATGAGTTTTGCGAAACGGTCCAGACTCACCGCCGAATGCAGTGAACGGTGACCCACTCGAGCTAATGTGGGCTCGCACGGGTGTGTGTTTGGGATTGCCCAGCTGGATGTAATCGATTTGAATCGCCGTCTCTCCCGGTTAGTGAGAAACTTGGTCACTGTCCGGCAGTCGTAGTAACTGATGAAACATGATGGTTCTATGGATCATGATAATTGAATATGGTTACTACTCTGATACTTATTAATCAAATGATATTACAGGATAAATGCAAATTAGCTATAATTGGCTTCACTGAACTTGATGCTAAAATATTGAAAGTAAGGACTTACATAGTAAGCTCTTTTGTAAAAGATTATGCTATCCAACTAGATTCACCAAATAAACCATGAATATCCTTGGAGTCTTCATTTTTCTCCTGTCAAGTAATTCTTGCTGAGTACAATTGAGTACTCAGGATTTTATCTCACCCTATTGCAGGTGAAGTGCTATGTCTGTTGAAGGTGGTGACTAAGTGCCGGTGGGCTCGGCTATTCTGTATTTGCTTTTCATCTATGTTTTTGTTGGAGGGTGTCATCAGAGCTAGCAATATGATTCAAAATTATGATTTAGTAATCATTTCAAAGTTATGCTGTTTTAACCTATTGGATTTGAAACTAAACTTGTATTAATTACTTGTGACCCTATTGTAATATTATTTTGGCTGCAAACTCTATGTATGTGATATATATTTGCTTAACCAAGTACGATCTTAGTTGTGAAGTTGATTTATCGAGGCCTTTGTGGTACTCGACGGACTACGGGTTTATATAAGTGACGGTATACGCGTGTCAACGTGTTTAACGGGGACAACCATACTTAATATTGTATAAATTCGGCGGTTCTGTCACAGGCGCAGCCTCCCCTCCCTGATGCCGACGGTCGTGCCCTAGGCGCGGCTGGCACCAATGGCGCGGCCTGCCCCGAACGCGCCCCTCTCCGGCGCGGTTGTGCTCCCAGCGCCCCTCCCCCGCCCGGCGCCCCTCCCTGGCACAGTCGTGCTCCCAGCAGCGTTCCTCCTCGGCGCGGAAAGCTCCTAGCTCTGCTCCATCACTCCAGGCATGAGGCAGCGAGGCAGAGGAGCTCATCCATGGAGAAGAAGACAGTAGAGAGAATGACATGTGGATCCCACATGTCATTCTCGCCACCAATGAATTTGGGTAGTCTGTTTAGGTAGTGTTGCTGGAGAAAACAACAAAATTTGGGTAGTATGAAAATTGGTAGCTACCTAAACAAAGAAGTAAGGGGTGTGTTTTAGGTAGTATTGCTGGAGATGCTTAAGTCCAAAATGGTACTTAACTAACCATTGTGTTTTTTATCTTTTCTTATGCTGCTCTTTTGAAAGTGGAACTAATAATATAATGATCACTTAAGCTCTCGATCGAGGGGGACATTGTTAGGATTGATCTATGCTTTGTCAATAACTTGACTGAGTTTTGGTGGCCTAATAGATGTTGATTAAGTCTTTCCTATGATCGGTTGGCCCAGTAACTACCTAATGGCTTGGTTTGAGTCCACCCCGAGGTATAAGAGAACCCACGACTGTAAATAGCTGTGGTTGTAATTAAGGTTGCTAGACACGTCCTCATTAGTTTTCGGGCGTGGCTAGCGCCTGAACGTCCGCACGCTAGCACCCGTTCGGATGCCCGCGCCTGCCTCGCCTGTTGCGCCCACCCCGCATGCCTGATTAGTCTGATCACATGCTGCACCTGCCACCACTTGCCTCGCATGTCCTGCATGCGGCTGCAACTGTGCACATGGCCGCCCACCCCCACATGGCGCAGCACGTACGCACGCAAGTTCGTGCCTGCTGCTGCGCGTTTCGCTTCGTTCCGTGCTGCGCCCCTGTGCATGAAGGTGGGGACCACCCACGCCTGTGCCCCCGCATGCTGTTGCGCCCCACGCTTCGCTACTGTGCTACGTGCCCGTGGACGTGCATGCAGGTGGGGACCAGATCTACATTTGCAACACCAGATCTATTTTTGCAACATTCAGATGAAACATATGAAACACACATATGAAACGCATGAAACATACTGCCCCTGCTAATGAAAACACTTGCAACATGAAGCATTTGCTGCAACAAAGACTATTTCTGTGTTCATTTTTACGTAACAGTGGCAGTAGGAAGTTTCTTAACATGTAGAGGGAATTTTTTACTTCATTCTCTGATGACCATGGTAATTTTTAGAACTTAGGTCCTCAGAATTAATGTAGCCTTCTTTTTGTTGAACAAAAATACCAAGATACAGACAATGTTGGTAGTGGTATGGATCAATTTGCTTCTCTTTTTTATTGCGTTTGTCCTAGTTATAATTTCATACTGCACTAAGCATCCTGTCTCGTTCTGGAGTGGGCATCAAAATGACAACCCATCTACACAAGGAAAGAGATAAATAGTTAAATTGCTTGTTTTTTTTATTAAGGATGCTTGTCATTCTTCTCAATATGAATAGATCGTTAAACTCTCAGGTCATACATCTTTTATTCTCTTTCCTGTGTTTACATTTCAAACTGTCATATTGAGCTATGTTCCTTTTTATATTTTGTTTGACATCAAAAGTTAATTTGAATCACAGCTTTGAATATCCTTTTATTCCAAGGGGAAGATTCACTTAACCAACATTAAGAAGCTTTTTTTCTAAATTTATCTTTTAAATTCTAATATCGAATTATGGTCCATTTTTGTAATGTAGTTAAAGAATAATTAGAATTGCAAGTATGAATCTTTCTTGCATGAAGTCGACTTTCATCTCTTAAATGCATGAGGAAGACAGTTGGCTTTGTTTTCCTTCACAATGCTATGGGTACCAAATAGAGAAATGGATATAAGCGTATTTTGGATTAACTTTTGTATAACAGCAGTGCCGGGTAATTCTATAAGCGTATTTTGGATTAACTTTTGCAAAAGCAGTGGCAGGTAATCCCTCAATAATGGTATGCATAGGTAATATGGAAACGGGTATAAAGAGTATTTCTGGGTTCATTTTTACATAATAGTGCTGATAGGAAGTTTGTCAACATGTAGAGGGAACTTTTACTTCATTCCCTGAGAATTAATGTAGTCTTCTTTTGCTGAACAAAAATACCAAGATAATACGTAGATGCTAGTTCTTCAGAGTTCAGACAATATAATAAAAGTCACTCTTCTGTTTGATGGCAATTGCTTGCCGTTGGAAAGCTGTTCCACACGACTGACTCGCTGTGACAGCAAGAACGGAACTGCTTCTGGTCCGTGCTACGGAGTACACTCCAGTCTGCTTTTCCTGAGCGTCTGCTCGCTGCATTTGAGTAAAACCTGCAGCACATCCTCCATAGTAGGGCGTGAGGACGGCGAGTTAGCCGTGCATTTCACGCCTAGCCTGAACACGGTCTCAATCTCGTCAGCATACCCTGCATATCTGATGCAGATGTCTGTAGCATCAGGGATACTCGCCCCTGATCGGTAGTGATGCCCTGCCCATTCTGCCAGGGAACCGTGATCGCCACCATCGTTGGCATTCCTGTCAGTCGTGAGCTCCAAGAGCACAACACCAAAGCCGAAAACATCCACTTTCTCATTCACCTTCCTCGTGTAAGCATACTCTGCAGATATTAAACAACAAAGGCTATAAAATTAGGCCTCACAAGACTTCAACTTATGGTATTGACTACAGTAGTTACCATCTTAGTCATCACTGTACAGAATCCGACAAAATTCCATTGAAATAACCAAAAGTAGATCCTTACCAGGAGCCATGTAGCCGAATGATCCAACTACCCAGGTCATCGTGTTGGGTTCCCCTGCTTGCATCAGCATCCTAGCCAGCCCGAAGTCCGCAACCTTAGCCTGGAACTCCGAGTCCAGCAGGATATTGCTCGTCTTGACGTCCCGGTGAATGATGGGAGGTGAGCAGTGGTGATGCATGTAGCACAGCCCCTGCGCTGCGCCGACAGCCACTATGAGCCTCGTTGGCCAGTCCAACGGCACACGCTGCACAGGCCGTGCCCTCGCCATAGGGTGCCCTGCACGGAGGACGTAGGCGCCATGGAGCCATCTGTCCAGGCTGCCGTTGTCCATGTAATCATACACGAGGAGCTTTGAGTCCGCGCCAGAAAGGCAGCACAGTAGCTTGACAATGTTGTTGTGCCGGATGTTGCATAGGATGCTAACCTCGGACTCAAACTCGTGCTCCATCAACTCGTCCAGCGACCCAAAGCTTCGTATCTGCTTCACGGCCACCACCCCGATGCTCCTGTTGTACCGGTTGGTGTATGTGACGCGGTAAACCTGCCCTGAACCACCGCTGCCGACAAGGTTCTCTTCAGTTAGTCATCGAAGTTCAGAGTTTGGAAAGCTGTAATTCGCCATTCATCCTGCTTTTCTTTCATGAACATAATCGCAGAGGTGCGGAAGCAGTTCATTTCTATGAGGCCACCATTAGTGATTTGAGAATCATGCTCCCCAGGTGGTATCCTTACGTTGTCTACGCGGTATGTTCTCTTTGGTGATGAGATCATAGCAATAACAACAAGGAAGCATATTCCAACAAGAGCACTGGCAGCGGCAAAGATGGTGACTACAACGTTGTGTGCCCTTCTCTTATGAGTACTATGACTAGGAGTGTAATTATTGTTTCCTGTACCAGTTACAAGATCAGGATTCCCAGCTATATCAATATAAACACTTTGGCGGAGACTAGGAACAAACCCAGAAAGATTATTATAAGAAAGCACCAGCTGTGTCAAGCTTTGCAGGTTTCATAGTGAAGATGGAACCTCACCTGTCAGGTTGTTATATGAAAGATCAAGAATCCCTAATTCACTTGAAGAGCCAAGATCTGAAGGAATAGATCCACTGAGATGGTTGTGACTAAGATTCAGTGTGGTCAGGCTTCTTATATCAGGAAATGTATCTGGGATAGGTCCGTCCACTAATGGAGTTGTTTTGAAGATTCAGAACTACCAGCTTCTCAAGGCTACTGATGGCAACAGGAACTGGACCCTGAAACTTATTTGATGCCAGATTCAACAAAGTCAAGCTCTTGCATTTACTAAGCTCTGAAGGTATATTTCCAGTCAACTGGTTGTCATCCAACTCAAGATAAGCCAAGCCCATGCCATCACAAGTTGAGTGTGAGATGTTCCCTCTAAGCCTGTTTCCACCAAGCCTCAAGCGGTAGAGGCTTCAAGACAAATGGCTTGGAATAGTCCCTTCAAGAATGTTATTGGTAAGATCAACAGCGTGTAACCCCATATGCGAGAGGAGATCTGGAGGAATCTTTCCACTCAGACTGTTATAGCTCAAATCCAACATCTTGAGATGAGTGGTAATACTACTGGGGACTGGACCAGTGAAGTTGTTCTGGTTTGCTGCAAACCGGAACAGCATCGTTACATTTGACAGACTCTCTGGTATTCCCCCACTCAATCTATTTCCCGACAGGAGCAAAGTCTCCAGCTTTGAGAAACTCAAGAACTTATCTGGGACAGTACCAGTTAGATAATGTTGGCTGAGATCCAGTAGAGTAAGATTTTCATATTTAAACAGACCAGTAGGGATTGAACCCTTCAACTGATTATCAGATAAAACCAACTCCGTCAAAGAGAGGACCATACTTGTAGGAACATAACCATTCAACTTATTTGAACTAATATCCAAGGTCCTCAGTTTGGGAAAAGCGCTCAAGTCTGCACTCAAATTTTCACTAGTAAAATAATTTAAGGACAAATCAAGGATCTCCAACTGTGAGAAACCAGAAAAATCGCTGAGCCTGTGAGATAACTGATTGCTGCTCAGATTAAGTGACAGCAATCCTTCCTTCATACGACAAGAAGTAGTGGAGAATTTGTCCCCCAAATTGGTAATGAAATTTCTTGAGAGATCAAGGGACAACAAGGTGTCAAGATGGCATAAGGAGGCAAAGCTAGAGGGATTGCATATGCCGTAGTTGGACAGAGTGATGTCAGCCACCACCATGGAAGAACCAGACCTAGAGCGCGAGCAGGTAACTCCAGTCCAGTAGCAAATATTTGTGTTGGAGCTCCAACTGTCACCCACAAAGCTCGAAAGATTCATCATGATGGCCACCTGCTCCTTGTCGGGTGGTAGGCAAGATGGCACATCCATGGTGGCCACCGACTCACCATGGATGTAACTCCAGCTGATCTTCACCGGCGCGAGCAAGGGAAGAAAAATAGAGGGTACTTTATTCTCTCCAGGCTTTGGGTATCATTGTCAGTTGGTTTGCTCAGCAATGGCTTCCTTGGGTTTTGTTCTTCAGGGCGCTTGAAAGAAAATTGAGTGCGGTACGCGCTATGGCTGTAAATTCTTATTGTTGTTCTGCTGTTCTAATAACATACCTTGTAACACAGTGGATTCTAATATACAATATTCTTAAAATACCTTTGATGTCAAATCTAACCATGCAACTTTTATTTTTTATACCTAACTAAATACTCAAAATATCATTGTCAGTCAAGGTTGAAGCGGTAATTTCTTGATGGTCTCCTTCGGCCCCTGGGTTGGGTCCAGGGTTGACTGACTGACGCACTGCATCGTCTGTTCCTGATGTGTGAGACAGCGAGAGCCACACAGAGCTAAATCCGTTCTACGGAGTACTGACTAGTGGCTATGCAAGATCGTCTATTGAATGCTGCCTGTAGGTAGACCGACTTGTATATGCATCGGGTCGTCGCTTTCGCTTACCTATGGTAGACGGCGAGCACGCACCGCTACCGGAAACAGTGGCTTTGCCGTGTGCCACAGGCACTCGACAAAGAAAAAAAAAACACTCGGCAAACAACACACGGCATCTACAGTGCCGACAAACGTCTCTTTGCCGAGTGTTTTTTATCGGACACTCGACAAATACTTTGCCGAGAGCTGAAACCGACGCTCGCTGAAAAAATTAACGTGACGACGACGAGACGGTCATGACGCGTTTACCGAGTGTCCCGGACCTGACGCTCGGCAAACCTGTCTCCTTTGGCACAGCACGGCACGTCAGCACCGGGAAGCTTCACCCTCCCATCTGGCTAGGAACGGGGATCGATCCGACCGGATCTTACCTTGGTTCAGCAGGCGGCCATCCTGGGCGGTGGGCGCTGCATAGAGGGCCATATCGGGCACCCGGCACTGGTGTGTTGGTAATGGCGGCGGCGAAGTCCAAACCCTATGAGCTGTGTGATCTGCTGTTGATCTTTCTCTCTCTTTTTTCTTTTTTTTTTAGAAAAATGATTATTTTTTTTTTGAGGAGATTGAGAAAAATGATCTACTGTTGATCTGGTTTGCCACTCGCGGCGCCCCGATACAGCCCATGATACAGGATCTGGGCGCGTTTGGTTTCCTTGTAAGCACAGCCCAGCCCAGCGTGGCTCGTATCTAATCTACCATGTAGGCTCTCGCCACCAGCCAGGCTTAGCTTATGCAGGGCCAAGTTGTTTCGTAAATAAAATCATCAAAACAAGTCTGTAATCATGGGTAAGGCATCAGTTACTCTGTACATGCAAAATACATTAGCTGAAACACCAAGATACATTTGCTAGAAGCCTAGACTAGACTGCAACCGAACCTTCACGCCATCTTATGAGCATTGCTGTTGCCACCGCACCCGCCTTCCTCTTTTTTTACATCAAGCAGATATGCAGTTCCTCCTTTTGCAGTAGCACATTACCTTTGCACTTGAGTAAACTGCATGGCCGGTCCCTAAAGTATTGAGTGGATTTCATCTGAGTCCTCAAACTACGAAATCGCACGTTTAACTCCTTAATGTATTTAAGTGATCTCATCAAGGTCCAAATAGACACGAGAAGGGTTAGAAGCTGACGTGGCCGTCCACGTGGGCATGATTTAAGCACAAAACCCTGAGCCGTGGCGTGAGCGGTCATGATGTTCTAGCCCAATCACCGCCAGGGCGGGCTCATGTGTCAGCCCCATCTTCCAACTCCAGCTACCGCCGGCATGCGAGCTCACCAGGTGAGCGTGGGGGCCGCGGGCCGCACCTTCCTGTCTAGGGCAAGTGAGCGCGTGTGCCGCCGGTCGCGCCGCCACCGCTGGCACACGGGGGCGAGTGTGCGAGCCACGGTCCTTGCCGTCACGTCGGGGTAGGCAACCATGAGAGAGCGGTGGTGGCTCGGCCATGCACCTGCCGCCTGCTGCAGCTGCATTGCACCGCCACGCTACCTCCTCCTGCTGCTGCTCCGTCATGCCGCCTTGCTCCTCACTGTGACCTCTCTCTCGCTCCAGCGCCCGAATGCACCGCCACCCCCACCGCCATTACCAAGCACACAGTTGAGCTGCTAATCTTCCGCCACAGCTCACCTCCATAATCGATTCTCCACCGTTGGGTTCGCCGATGCACGACGAGGCCTCTACACCACTCCACGGCGTCAATCCAAGCCAGCAACTCCATTCCCCGACCTCACCGGAGCTCCTAGACCACCACCGTCCGTTCCACTGCCTCGGTTTCCTTCCCTGCTGCCTCCCCGCCATCGAGATTGTAGCCTCGATCGGCGGTGGGGGGTGGGGGGTGAAAGGCAGGCCACCATGGGTGTCGCCGTCGGCTGACAAACCCGCCGATCCGGTCATGATGCCCAAGGCTTTG